ATCGAGTGGACTAGGAAAAATTCTCAGAGCTTCTGGAAATAATTCTGAGTTCAAGCATGGGACATGAGAACAGAAATGTATTACAATCATCATGTCATCATTGTTTTCGAAAGCCAAAAGAATTCCTCATGAAAGAACATCTTTTTTTCCTGGTTGTGGGATGGAGTAGAGTTGCTGCATCTTGAACAACCCACACTGATCTGAACAGAAATATGAAATGTTTTTATAGATATAAGAAATGAACTGAAAGTGAAAGTAAAAATGAAATTGTATTGGCTGGAAATATTTCTTGGCTGTTGAATGGGAAAAATATTTCCAGAGCTGAAAAAAAAAAAAAAAAAAAACTCTTTCCTTTTTTTCTATTAAATTGATGTCTTCACTTTGTTTACTTTGGAATGGAGAAACCCAAAGACTATGACTCATCCTTTCTAAAACATATAATTCCTAGAATGAGTCATGGTCTATTTTTAGAAACAGTGAGACAACATTCCCACACAAAAGGGGGGTAGGGTTAATTTTTATCATGTCTAGAAGACATGATAAAAATTAACAAAAAGTTTTTTTTTTTTTTTTTTTTTTTACATCTCAGAATTTTTTTTTCTGAGCTCTGAAAATTTTTCCCAGTCGGCAACCAAGTGAAAATTTTCAGCCAAGACGATTTGGCTTTTACTTTCACTTTCATCGCTTTTCTATAAAAGTATTCCACGTTTTCTATTCAGAACCGTGCGGGCTATCCAAGGTGCAGCATGCTTTTTCTCTTTCTCTATCTCATCTGGACCCAGGACCACTCTTCTAGAAAGAGCTTCTGTGAACACAAGTTTCTTTCCACTTTTTAATGTCTCACAGAATAGAAATCATTAATACGTTTAGGGGAAAATGTTTCCTGTTTGAAAAGCTAGGGTTTTCGTTTGGATTTCATCAGCAACCGTTTATCAGGTTCTAGCGAAATTGGATGATCCATCCATGGATCAGAATTTCCCATCTGTAATTTGGATGGATCAAGATTTCAACATAGTTTAAGAAAAATCCTTCAATCCTATTTGAAAGGAGATGTCATGATATTGAAAGACATTTTCCCATGACTGACATTGAAAGACATTGAAAGACATTTTTCCATGACGAAATCTCTCTATCCCACAGCTTCTTCTAAAGTGAACTTAAAGAGATTTTTCATACCGGGTTTTCAATTTTCACCTCAAACCATACCGTTGACGACGTGTGAGACACAAACCATGACATAAATTTCAGTTTCTATGACAGCTAACACGCTTGAGCTTTAAAAATGTATGAAAGAAGTTATTTTTAATCCATTTCACCGATTGAGTGGGCTGGGGAAAAAAAAAAGGCCCTTTCCATGACAGCTAACACGCTTGAGCTTTAAAAATGTATGAAAGAATTTGTTTTTAATCCATTTCAGCGATTGAGTCTACTGGGAAACATTTTCTTAGAGCTCAGGGGAAAAAAAGGCTCTTTCCATGAGAACTAACACGCTTAAGCTTTAAAAATATATGAAAGAATTTATTTTTAATCCATTTCAGCGATTGAGTCTGCTGGGAAACATTTTCTGAGAGCTCAGGGGAAAAAAAGGCTCTTTCCATGACAGCTAAACTTTCTTAAGCTTTAAAAATGTATGAAAGAATTATTTTTAATCCATTTCAGCGATTGAGTCTGCTGGAAAACATTTTCTCAGAGCTCAGGGGAAAAAAGGCTCTTTCCATGACAGCTAACACGCTTAAGCTTTAAAATGTATGAATGAAAGAATTTATTTTTAATCCATTTCAGCGATTGAGTCTGCTGGGAAAACATTTTCTTAGAGCTCAGGGAAAAAAAAGGCTCTTTCCATGACAGCTAACACGCTTGAGCTTTAAAAATGTATGAAAGAATTTATTTTTAATCCATTTCAGCGATTGAGTCTGCTGGGAAACATTTTCTTAGAGCTCAGGGGAAAAAAAAAAAAAGGCTCTTTCCATGACAGCTAACACTCTTGAGGTTTAAAAATGTATGAAAGAATTTATTTTTAATCCATTTCAGCGATTGAGTCTGCTGGGAAACATTTTCTTAGAGCTCAGGGAAAAAAAAAGGCTCTTTCCATGACAGCTAACACGCTTGAGCTTTAAAAATGTATGAAAGAATTTATTTTTAATCCATTTCAGCGATTGAGTCTGCTGGGAAACATTTTCTTAGAGCTCAGGGAAAAAAAAAGGCTCTTTCCATGACAGCTAACACTCTTGAGCTTTAAAAATGTATGAAAAATTTATTTTTAATCCATTTCAGCGATTGAGTCTGCTGGGAAACATTTTCTTAGAGCTCAGGGAAAAAAAAAGGTTCTTTCCATGACACCGAACACTCTTGAGCTTTAAAAATGTATGAAAGAATTTTTTTTAATCCATTTCAGGGATTGAGTGGGCTGGGAAACATTTTCTTAGAGCTCAGGGAATGTGTCTCCAGGTTGAATGCACAGCACACACGGATGGGAAGTCGAAACTCGAGTGGCTTAAAAAATAAATATACGAAAGCTGGGTCATCGAGGTGACTAGGAAAAATTCTCAGAGTTCTGGAAATAATTCTGAGTTCAAGCATGGGACATGAGAACAGAAATGTATTACAATCATCATGTCATCATTGTTTTCGAAAGCCAAAAGAACATCTCATGAAAGAACATCTTTTTTTCCTGGTTGTGGGATGGAGTAGAGTTGCTGCATCTTGAACAACCCACACTGATCTGAACAGAAAAATGAAATGTTCTTATAGATATAAGAAATGAATTGAAAGTGAAAGTAAAAATGAAATTGTATTGGCTGGAAATATTTCTTGGCTGTTGAATTGGAAAAATATTTCCAGAGCTATAGGAAAAAAAAAAAAAAAAAAAAAAAACTTCCTTTTTTTCTATTAATTTGATGTCTTCACTTTGTTTACTTTGGAATGGAGAAACCCAAAGACTTTTTAAAACATATCCTATTTAAAAACTTATCTTATCTTATAAACTTTAAAACTCATCCTTTTTAAAACATATAATTCCTAGAATGAGTCATGGTCTATTTTTAGAAACAGTGAGACAACATTCCCACACAAAAGGGGGGTAGGGTTAGGGTTAATTTTTATCATGTCTAGAAGACATGATAAAAATTAACAAAAAGTTTTTTTTTTTTTTTTTTTTTTTTTTACATCTCAGAATTTTTTTTCTGAGCTCTGAAAATTTTTTCCCAGTCGGCAACCAAGTTGAAAAATTTCCAATCGGCTTTTACTTTCACTTTCAACTCTTTTCTATAAAAACATTCCACGTTTTCTGTTCAGAACCGTGCGGTTTCTCCATGGTGCAACATGCGTTTTCTCTGTCTACCTCATCTGCATCTAGGATGTTTTTCCTTCTTCAAGAAGTGGAATTTTTTGGGAATACCTTACAATTTCACGAGCTAGCTGTTTCTTATATTTCGAGGAGATTTCAATGAAATTGTTTATAGATGTCACCTATTGCAGATGGGGAAAAAGTCTATACTGGATCGCTGGAGACATCTCATCCAGATAGGTCACGTTATATTTTTTCCCACACCTAAATAAACTGGACATGAGCCATCCTTTTGTTTTCTCATCCAACAAAGATAGACACTGCAGACCGTTTTGGGTTTTCATTCTTCGCGAACCGAGATGAGCCGCAGCGACACTTTGCGTTTTCTCTGAGCGCAATAATGGATTACGTGAGCAGCCATTTTGTTTCCCATCTCACCCAGATAGGTCATGTTGTATTTTGTTTCATGCACCTAGCCAATTTTGGACATGAGCCATCCTTTTGTTTTTTTTGTCTATCGAACCAAGATAAACTCTGGAGACAATTTTGTGTCTCAACGGAAAAGTAAATTTTCTGAATGGGTACCGGTGTTCGAATACTTTTGTGACCGACTGTACATGGGCCCCTGCAAGCCGGAATTTTGATGATGCCTCTATCGACCGCTTCAGTGTCACCTCGAGCGTCGTCTCGTTAGTTAATCAGTCCTATCTAAACTTCGACTTCTCGTCAATGAACATTCATCCTAAGTACTATGCATTTGAGCTCAGCAGTTATACCATTAACATGTTCGAGAACGTCTGAACTCCTGATAATCCAACCACTTTAAAATTGGCAATGGTTTATTCACAGAAAGCTCAGACAACTCGACAGCTTGCGGACTTTAAAAATAAGTCCTGGTTACCTGGGCATATTCACAATGTCACCGCTAATCCTACTGACGGCCATGCTGCCCAGCTACTCATCAACTATTTCATGGAGACCGCGCTGTGGTCTGAAACACGACTACGCATTTCCGAGGATAGATTTTTTTATTTTCTCTGGCAAGCTTCTACTGTCTAATGGACTTAATTACGATTATGAGTTTCTCCTACTGCACCGTTGCAACTTCAAAATCCGTAATGCTTTGGATTATATGATGCCGCAATTCATGCTTCATGATTGAAGAAGCTTATGACTACCTCTTTATTGCCAGTGTTGCAACTAAGGATTTAACCCTGACCTTTTAACTTACATCTTTTAAACAAACCTCGGATCTTGAAAAAAGAAGAAGAAGCAACCAACTTAAGATTGACATTGACGATTTTAGAGGCAAATATGAGACTTAATCTAGCCGGTACTGATCATCCAGAAGCCTGCTTATTTCGCTAGTGTATTTAACTATTAGCTTTGTTACCTATTTCGCTGGATTGTGTTGTATGCAAATAGTGATGGACTGTGCGATAAACAGCGTCCTGCAAAAGAGTTAATTATGTAACTCGCTTACTGCCTGACTCTTACTTTTCTTATTCCTTAAGGAAAAGACAGTGATATGCCAAAAGGTTGCGTTCATGTTTCTCAAAATTTACTCTTAAAATCTAAAGAAAACGAAAGTCAACTTTTACAATAGCTAACCTTTGCCGTAAATAAAAAATAAAATGATGTAATGGATTAATCTTTCAAAACTTGAGTGGCAACAGCTGGATTTTACTTTTTTTATTTTTTTTTTTTTTTTTTTTTTTTTTACACGAAAAACGAAATTCGAATTTAGTTTCTGTATACGGTGGATGGTGGATAGGATACGTTTAGATGAAAAAATAATAATTTTTTTGTTTCTTTAACTTCGGTTTTCGCGGCATCTTGTTTCCTGTAGATATTCGAGAGGGTTTTTTTTAGTTCTTTTAAAGGTTTTTTTTTTTTTTTTTTTTTTTTTTTTTTTTGCCGAGAAGCGAGAAAATGTATTACACTGAATACAATTTGCGTCAGCTGCTGGAAATAGCTCTTCGTGTTCCAGAAGTTGGAGCAGTTAATTTCAATATTTTATATACAATTCTCAAAGCAATTATTCAAAAACAAGGTCTGGAAGGGGTGAAGCCATATTTTAGTATCGATGTACCCTTACCAGCGCATATTGCAGGTTTAAAATCTAAATTAAACGCTGCGTATATTAAACGCTCATATTCCGATGAATCTCTACAGCCTGCTGATTCATACCGCAGTGATGATATAAGTAACGTAGATAAAGAAGATAGAGATCCAGGTATTTAATGTCACTTAATTCATATCTTGCTTCAAAATGCTTCATTTCTGCGAGTCAGCACATTTTTGGATGTGTATGTTTTTATTTATTTATAAATTTTTATCTGTGCGTGTGATATTTCATTCTTTATCAATTAGTTATCTGATGATGTGCAAAATTAGTTATCTAGGATTATATTGTTTATGAAAATTAGGACTATCTGCCTGTGGCAGGTATCCATTCATGGGAAAGATCTTTGCAAGGGAAACTAGAGTATATATTTTTTAATGTATGTAAATCTCATGCGACCATGTTGTTCAACCATTGGAAATAGTAACAGTATTCTGCTAAACGACTCTTAAGTGTTTAAGAAAATTAAATTTATAGTAATGCAGGTAAAGTGCAGAATCGCCCAATTATTTGGTGCGTAATGTTTGGCATTTTTTACAAGAGTAATAAGAATTAGATTTTTGTCAATTTCCTTTGACTTTTTAAGTGAAAATACATCGAGGTGTACATAGACAAAGTCAAGGGAGTGCGCAATGCCGAATTTGTGCAATTCTCTGATGTTTTTTTAAGTGAAAATAGGTTGATGTGCACATGGATACCGAGTTTGAGCAATTCTTAAAAGTGTGCCAAGAAGTGGGTGATTCTGAACTTTCTCCATGTATGCTTCATACTTATAATTTAGTATTGATGAAAAGTTTCGATTAAATCCTAGGGCCATTTGGTTGATCTTTGGATTATGGTAACCTGGCGATTTTTTTGGCGAAAATTTGGCGACCAACTCTGCTACAGCAACCCTTTATGTTTTTTTTCCCGCCGCCATTTTGTCTTCACGAAGTAAAGACATGTTTCTTTTCTTTTTATTTACTCAACACTTTTTCCAACAATCTATTAGCCGAATTGCACTTATGCTAGAAATTTTATGTAACAAAACTGCTTAATCATGACAAATATTAACTGCAGAACTGGGAAAAGTGCACAATTGCAAACTCCTTGCGCGTTTTTCAGAATAGCACATACACATGAACCATTTACACGTCGACTTATTTTTACTTAAAAAAACATCTCAGAATTTCACAAAAAGGGCATTGCACACACTCTTAACTTTATCCATCTACACTGCTATTTTCTCATAAATTACAAAAATTTGCACGAAAATGCAGGAAAATTTTCTTAATCTTTAAACTCGGTAAAAAGCACATATATGAAATTACCTGATCGCGAAAAAGTATATACCCTTTCCAAGGATGAACATTTCCTCGTATAAAATAAATAAAATATCCAAAAGCTTTTACTTCTAAATTATCTATTATATTATAAACGTCACCAACGAATTTATACGCAAACATTAAAAATGGTTACAAATACTTAGTGTCAAATATTTAAATTATTTCCATGCACGTTTACTTCCACTGAAACGTATACCAAATTCCTACAAACATATAATTCACAAAATAACTATCATTTAATTAAAATATAATTAAATTCAAAAACACTACTTAAAATATTAATAAGCACTTACATTAAATTAATAAAAATTAGCTTATAATCCTAATTACTTTAAACTAAATCATTGCTAATAACAATTTTCCAATAATACCATATTACTTTATTTACTCCTTACATTTAGAACAATGCATAAAAATAATATCCTCAAATAATTAAAAATACTAACTTACCTAATCTTCTTCAGAATCTTGATTACATGGCGGATACACTTTTCTAATTGATTCAATAAAATTATTGAAAGATTTTTTCTGCGAATTTTCCCTCCATACTTCTTCCGCTAAATAAAAAGCAAAATTCTCTTTATCACAATGCCTTGGAATGGCGCTTTTTATAGCACTCCACGTGCCCTCTATTATATTCGTACGTGCACCTGTTTCAAGATCTTTAAAATGATATTTATGGTTCACAGCAAGATGTTGAAAACCTTCATCCTCCAAACATGCATATGATTTCCAGCAATCAGATACGATTATTGTACCCGGTAGAATATACTGTTTAATATTCTAATGGTGAGGTGCTGTTCTTAGCATCGCGAAAAAATTTGAAAAAGGTGCAAATCCCCCTCCGTGTCCTACTAACCTTTCTTCTCGTCGTGTGACGTTGGTGGGATAAACAATTAAAACTGCATAGGCCAATGGGCTGAGATTGTAGTGTTGGTGGGAACTCCTGTTCCCCCCTTTTTTTTATAGAGGGTGTGACAGACATGAAAAGACACGGAAAGAACTCAAAATGGCATCAGTCAAGTTGTTAGAAGAACAAAACTGTATATAGTGATAGTATATAGTGTATAGTATATACATAGACGTTCTTTGGGTCATTTTTGGTGTTGGCGATAATTTTCAAAATCGCACCTAGGCTGCACCATGTACTAGGATTTTACCGTCATCTTTTTTAACGAAGAGTTTTACAGATATGCGTTTGTCATATTTAAGCTAACATGCAGCAAAAAATTAAGTATTTGCATACAGAAAAAAAAAAAAAAAAATAGTTTTGAGTTATTTCACATTTTCTGCTTATCTGCATTCACTTTTGGCTTTACAATGAGAGTGTGAATAATCAGAAAATACCTAACATTCTTTTAAATTTAATATCTTTTTTGTTAGATCAAAAATTTAAACTGGAAGTAAACATGTAAAATATTTAAAATACCATTTGGTTTATGCTAATGCCTAACTGACTGTATATGAAAAACAATATTTTTTTTTTTTTTGCTTTATGCAAAATATCCAGCAGTTTTATTATTTACAGTTATACTCATAGGCTGCAATCTTTCTTTAATAAATAAAATAATAATAATAAAAAAAAAAAAAAAAAAAAATCTTAGTCCAGAAGAAGATTATTTTTGCATATAAGAAAAGCTCCAAAAAGTTAATGCTGTGTTCATTGTGAATAGTAAGAAAATGTGCAGCATAATTATCAAAATTAATTATAATTAAATTGTATATGGTTAAAATCACTTTAATGTGCTCTAAATTCTGTCATAGCATTTGTGCATGGGCAGTCTATCCATTTTGTTGTTTGGAATCCCGATAATGTACTTTTCAGCTTTTTATTTTCCTTTATTTCCTTTCACCTGTGTACACACTCCTGATATTGATTTTATCTATCAAATCTTTTGATATTGGATTTATTTGTAGAATATTGATTATACTTCTTAGGATGCCTGTTCATATAAATAAACCAGTTCATTAAAAATCAAGGTAAAAATATATTTATAGTTGCCCCTTGGCGTAAATTGGTAATTTTTGGCAGTACATGGATACTGAGTTTGTGCAATTCTTTTATTTGTTATTTTGGCTTTGTGTAGCAGTGATTTTTGGCACACATCGACCTATTTTCACTTAAAAAATTCAGAGAATTGCACAACCTTGGCATTGTATCTTTGTCCATGTGCACATCGATCTATTTTCACTTAAAAAGTTAAAGGAGCAGCTAAGAAAAAATATATAATCTTAATAAACTACATTTTAAATCAAACAATCAAATAACATAAAAAGAGGAAATTCATCTTAGCATTACGCAAAGTCAATATCCACTTATCTTATTTAGAAATTTTTCTGTCTTCAGTCAAACAAAATTCCTTAACAACATCCAGAAACTTCCTAAAATTATCTAAACTAGAATCTGTATACTGGCCTCACCACATAAGTTCACAAAAATAAGAGTAAAAAAAAAATCCTCCATATTGCCGGTATCCTCCGTTGTTCGAACATATGCATTTTCTTCCAACAAACAGGAAACTTATAATGGCTACTAAGTAAACCTTTATTTAAACACCAGTGAATTAATGCTGTTTTCCCCTTTCGTTCCAAATTGTGCAGAAACTTCAAATTAATCTTACCACATTCAGCCATTTTACCATCTTAACCACAAAACAGCAACATACTTCCTAACCAACACACATAACAAGCCATTAGAAATCTTTTCCCATCATTCAAATTCATCGCAATCATGCAACTACTTATTTCATAATAGGATTTTCATAACATTTATTTACTCAGGTTACCAAAAATGAAATAATTTCCTGTTAATAAAAAAAGCATTTGTGGTACAAGGGCAATTCGTGGTAATACATTTTATTTCTTTTAATTATTACATGCTTCACCCTTAGGCACTACACGGAAAGGGAGGGATGCCCTGTGGAGGTCTTTTTAAGGGAAACTGGCTTGTATCCACGTTACACACGGGGAAAACCATGAAAATGCCCATGCAGCCAGCCCGTTCGCTGGGACTCGAACCCCGGACCGAACTACCAGTGTTCAGAGTCTTTTACCGCTCATGTGGTGGGCCCATGTGGTAATACATTCAAAATTGAATATTTATCATGCGCAGGGTTGCCTGAATAATTGTTGTATATGTGGTTATCAGAGTTTGGTGTATTCTGAAGCTTTGCCAGTTCCTATTAAGATGGTTACAATAATAAGTAAGTACCATATATTTAATTTTCTATGATACATAGTTCAGCAAAATGAAGCTTGTATTATTCAGGTTGCTGAACTATGTATAAAGAATGTATTGAGGGTGCTGAACTATGTACTCTTAAGTCAGTTTTTATTCTTTTAGAATAACATCACAATGCAGCTGAAAATTTTCTTGGAAAATTCTGGTTCTTCATATTTCAAGGTTGGCAGCTATGATATAGTAGGGAAATAAGAAATAAATTAATCTATCACTACAGGTTAAACCAGCATGAAAAGTAAAATGAGAAATATAAAAGGAATTAAACTGAGCTGTCCCCCAAATCTCCAATAGAACTGGGTATGCATTAAATGTTATATTAAGCATGTGGAACTGAATGAAAGGAAAATATATATATATATATATATATATATATATATATGTGAAAAAATTTTAAATCATCTCTTCAGCAAATAAGTGTTGCAGTTTTCACAAACAAAAGTAAAGTAACAATTATGCTTCTTCAAATATGAAGTTCTACTTCATAATTATTTACGAAATCAGAAATACTCTCATGTGTAAATATTTTTTTTAGAAGAGATGCTTAACATTTATAAAAAAGAAGAAGCTGTTAGATGGCAGATTCTGAAACTGGTTAAAAGAATGGGAACTATTGAAGATGAAATAACTGAGGCAAGCTATGAAAAATTTTTAGTAGTGTGTTTTATATAAATGCTGAAGATCATATGACTATGTGAAAGATCTGTTGTATTGATTAGTTGAACTGATAATTAAACTTAAATAATTGGTAAAGTAATTAACAAATTGGGGCATTCTTTTTGCATTGGAAATGGGAAATCTTTAAAAAAATATCAAAAGCATATCATTGAATGCAATTTAAAACAACTGATAGAAAGCTGTCTTTTCATTCATGTTAAAATTTCATTTACATTATATGATAATATTATTTTTTTTTTCCACTGCAGAGATTTTAAAACTTTTTTGTATTGTAATTAACAAGAGATGTATAACATTAAGAAATTTGATAATTTACAAATTCTTCCATTTGATGTTAATTTCAAATAAAAAGTCTGTGCATTTCGAGACACAAAGAAAATGATCTCTTTTTCAGGAGCAAAAATCTTTATTGAAGTTCTTAATGATAGATCCACTAAGTATTTTTAGCCATAATAGTAGTTTAAAAACTGAAACTAGTATTTATTATAAAGATGTGTAGCTTATGATTATCAAGCAAATAAAAAAAATCACTCTATAGTGGTATTTTTTTTATAAGCTTTGTATCATACTGTTAAAAATGTCGTGCATAGATAAATGGTTTTAGTGCAATTATATATGCGAAATTGTTGTATTTTTCTGTGTTATGTAACATGAAAAATCTAGACAGAGGAGCTATCCAGGAAAAGTAAGAATACAGAGGCAGGTCTCTTTAGTAGATGAATATCTTGGTAATTTGATGCTGGCAATGGTTTTGGCAACTAAAATTTAATGACATTTTGGTCCGGTCCCTGTAATCACTGTAATAGGTACTTTAATTGAATAAATGTAATTGATCACTATACAGTGCATCCGTAAAGTCAGGGTGCACTTTTGATCTGTCACAGGAGAGCAATAAAACAAGATATAAATGTGAAATCTTCACCAAACAAAAGGAAAACTGTCCAAGTTTCCATAGTATGATGTGTAAGCATGTGCGCACACAGGTGAATTCAGTGTGTTCTATAGCTTGCCCAGTTCGAATCCATGACCGAAGTGCAATGTGAATATCATCGTGTGTACAATGAACTGCCACCTCATAGGAATAACATTCATTGGTGGGATAAGCAATTGAAGGATACAGGTAGTTTGTTGGACAAACCCCATTTTGCCATCGATCAGTGACGAGTCTGTAGAGACTATATGGAAGAGTTACCTAAGAAGCCCTGGTTAATCTTTGGATTATGGTAACTTGGCGATTTTTTGGCAACTAACCCTGCTACAGCAACGTGCTAGTTTATTTTGGACGCCATTTTGTTTTCACGAAGTAAAGGCATGTTTTTTTTTTTTTTTTTTACTCAACATTTTTTCCAACAATCTGCTAGCCGAATTACGCTTATACTAGAACTTTTATGAAACAAAAATGCTTAATCATGATGAAGATTAGGTGCGAAATTGGGAGAAAGTGCAGAATTGCAAACTGCTTCCCACGTTTTTAAGAATTGCACATACACAGTATCATCCATGTACACGTCGACCTATTTTCACTTAAAAAAAAATCCCAGAATTGCACAAAAATGGCATTGCGCACACTCTTGACTTTATCCATGTACATTGCTAAAGTCCTAGCTAGTAACCTTTATCGCCTTACCAAAATGTCGCCAAACTACCCTGTTACCATATTCCAAAGATTAGCCAAAATCCTTACAGCAGCATCATGAGATCGACAATGATAACCGATTTCTGCAAATGATTGTGTTTAGCAATGAGGTGACATTCTATGTTAATGGACATGTTCATTGTGATAACATCCAAATATGGGCTACTGAAAATCCTCATGCCTACTTAGAGTACGAACGTAACAACCCTAAAGTGAACATGTTATGTGGCCTGATGCATGATAAAGTGATAGGACTATTTTTCTGCGGAGTAGACTGTGACGGCATGGATGGAGCCTACATTGACCTGCACTGAATAGGTATAAAACTTTAAGAGATTTTCTCTTGTTTGGTGAAGATTTCCCATTTCTATCTTGTTTTGTTGCTTTCCTGTGACCGAACAAAAGTGCACCATAACTTTATGAACGCACTGTGTTAGCCGTAATCATGATATGACCATCATATTGCATTCCAGTAATTTCAAAAAGCAGAAAGTACCAGAAATATCTCAGTGATCAGGTGAAAAGTATATAACAGACATGGCCAAACTGCGGCTGACAAGCTACTTGCGATCCTTTGCCATCTAAAATGTGACTGATTTTGAATAAATATAATTTAATGTTTTAATACAAATGGAATTTGAAATAGAAATCATGCATTGCCATGTTTCTTTATTAATTGCTAATTTAATTTCTGGTATTATATTTGTAAAAATTTAATAGATTTCAAACAGTCCACTGCTGGCTTATCGACTGAGCAACAAATATGTAAAATTACAAATAATTCCATTTCTGGTGTATAAATAATTCCAAACATTACTATTTCAGTTAGGATGCTTTTTGAACAGGTAATGGTCATTGGAATACACTAATACATTATAAGTACTAATAAGTTAATCTAAAACTCAATGTTAATATTTTTACTTAATTATTCTCCCTAATATTACTCTCAAGTTAATGTTACTTCAGGCAGTATCTGCTTATATTCCTGTGTAATTCCATTGTTCACATCAGCTGTGATCCACCTGAAAGATTTGCTATTCATTGTAGGGTACTACTTTTATTCAGTCCTTGAATGGCGTGAGTAACTGATAAAGAAACCTGTTTCACTGTGCAGTTTATATAGAGCCCTTTTGGGAACTACACTGATATGCGCCCTTGAGTCGGCAAATTTCTCGACAAACATTTTAGGTGAGAAACTCCACATTGCCATATTGCTATCTAAATTTTTTTGCCTACATTTCGAACTTTAAGCCTAAAATGTCTCCAAAAACACTGTTTTCGCGAATGCAAAAACCACGTTTTGAACACACAATTTAAGCTAAAAATCCAAAACAAAAACAAAAAATTTAGATAGAAAAATTGTAAAATTTCTAACCAAAATTATTTGACAAGAGTCCTTGTACACAGCGATATGTTTTAACTTAAAAAAACATCTACGAATGGCACAATCTAGGCAATGAACGAATCTACGAACTACGCACACCTTGCTTTAATAAATTAACATAACAACAATAAATTTCAAAGAATACCATGTACACAGCATCCTGTTTCAACTTAAAAAAACATCTACGAATTGCACAATTTAGGCAACAAACGAATCTACAAACTACGCACACCTCACTTTAATGAATTAACATAACAACAATAAATTTCAAAGAATATACCATGTACACAGCGTCCTGTTTCAACTTTAAAAAACGTCTACAAATTGCACAATTTAGACAGTATGCACTAATCAACAAAATAACTAAAATAAATTTCAAACAATTCAAAAATACAACAATAACGACAGAAATGCATACTAAAAAAACAATGAACATAACATTCTACAAAATAAGAACAAGAATAAAATAAAATGCACTTACCATGAATTAATGCTTTTTAGAACAGCAGAAATACCAATTTCATACCGCCTTTAACATGCCGCCACGTAATCACTATTGTGTTTATGTGACAGCCAGACACACTTATCCAGAAAATTCATACTGTGGTTCACAAATAAATAAAAAATAATCACAAATCCCTAGTTCTATCATGCACAGCCAGTAAAAATAATCTCCCAGACCCTCTTTCCACACCTCCAAATACCCACTGCCCCTCAACAGGATGGCCACGATGATATTTCCTTTTGCCGAATTTCAACAACTTTCAACATTTTATCTTTCTCCCTAGCTTCTCAAACACAAAGCATGATGTGAACCAACGAACTCCAGCGAAAGATTTTTCAACGTCAACAGGGTTGCCATACAACACGCAATCGCACCAAAAACCAGCGCAGAACACATATTGCCACATTTGGTGAAATTAGGGCATATATCAGAGTTGTACCCTCTTTTGAATCTGTGGAAGAATTTTACAAGGATTTTATATTTGATGGAGCTTCAGCTTCTTAATTATAATTGTCTCAATTTTGCTGCAGATCTCCTTCAAAATTAATTTCCTGTCCCTAAGCAAGTCAGGCATTTTTATGCAACTGCTTCACAGATTTTGCAACTATTTACAATAATATGAATTATGAACACATTACCTAAGTGAAACGCTTTCATAATAATTCCTTGTTAATTCTAGACAGAGGCAATTCTAGGCTCCATGATAATTCTAGGCATCATAATTTATTTCACCAATGGTTGTGCATGCTAAAATATTTGGAGTCATGGGAAGATCATTATTTTCACAACAATTTAAATTTTAGTCAAAATGATCAACAGAACACAAACATCTCTCTTCTCCAAAGTTTCTGTCAAAATTGGCATATAAAATCACTTTAGCTTGTGATATTTTCTTGTATTTTTCAATTTCTTGTTTGATTACCGTCTTTCTTTCTACCTCGCACTAGGTTAGAGTTGCTGGTAAATATCACACTAGGCTAGAGGCATTTTGCTGCCCGGCATATCTAAAATTTTTCACTCTTTAGTTCTGCTGCTCTGCAGCTGCACCAGTTACCCCAGCTCTGATGCCAGCATTACACTTCTTTTAATCTGTTGATATTTTTTATCTTCCTAATTTTCAACCATCATGTACCTCTTGCACATCCTTCATGGAAGCTTAGTAGCCAAATGAAAAGTTGCACAATCATTCACTGCTTGATCACTACAATTTTCGGGCAATAATGTGAAATTTTGTTCCCGTAAATGTTTATTTTTAAAGTCTTATCTTTTATTTTGTAAAGTACCCTACCTAAAGTACTGTATTTGAGATTTATTTTCTGTAATGTAACCCAATGGAAAGTTGTACTTTGTAACTGTCAGACTGACAAAAATTTATTTTAAACTTTCTCCTGAGTTATTTTATTTAGAAATTCAAGACAAGACAGTTTTTTGTGCCATAGTCATTTGCCCACCATTATGAGTCTAACAGTTAGAATATGGTGGATCCGTTCACTGATTTCACAAGAGCTTAGGAACTAAATTATTAGACGTCTGCCTTGTTTGAAAGAACTCTCTATGTTGGTCCTTGTTAACTGTGTGGAGAAACAAAAACTACTTTATACCACTAGACAACACACTTTATACCACTAGAGCCGAGACCGTCAAAGTACAGATTTCAGCCAGTACAATAAACAACTTCAGGAGCAGAGGGGAACATGCTAGAGAAAGGCGAAACATTAAAGCTAATTCTCATCTGAGTACCTGGGAAATTATTTCTAATTGGAAGATATAATCTATGTTGTTTTCTCTGAACCATAGGTAATTTTATTGTTTGAAAGAGAAAAGTACTGAAGTTTTTAAAATCATGTGAAGACTTCAGAAATTTTCAGATTTATATTTTGCTGTAAAAAAACTTAGAAATGATGACATGAGTTTCAAATTAGGTTTATTACCCACAGCTGAACATTATACCATTAATATTATTAATATCAGTGTCTAGTTCTCTCTTGTACTAGATTGAATATTAGTTTATCTGTAGTACTCTCACATCCCCGTATTTGGAGTAGGACTTGTCTTTGCTATGAGCAACATCAATGGCAGATTCCACCTATTTCTTTAATATGACATCCCTGATCTATGAATGAGATTTGAATCCAAGATTTGCTGACAAGTATGTGCTTTGTGCCACAAAACCTAATTGTCAATCTCTCCTAATGTCTACTTAAATATTAAATCAGCTGGTGCATACCTATTATCATTATCTTGAGGGTGAAACAAAAAACACACTGATGTGATGATTTCTCTGAAGGTTTTGAAAAACAAAGTTTGCGAAAGGAAATTAACAAATTGTACTGACCTCTTCAGTGAGCTGTGACTAAGTTTGAGTGATCATATATGAAAAGAGGGTAAAAGCATATTTATGGGTACCCCTTGGCAAAAATTGCGATTTTTGGTGGTGCATGGATACCAAGTTTGTGCAATTCTTTGACTTGTTATTTTGGCTTTGTTTTTAGTGCCAAAAATCACCGCTACAGAAAGACAAAATAACAAGTCAAAGAATTGCACAAACTCGGTATCCATGTACACATTGACCTATTTTCACTTAAAAAAAATCACAGAATTGTACAAACTAGGCATTGTGTACTCTTTTGACTTTATCCATGTACAAATCAACCTATTTTCTCTTTAAAAAGCATCAGAGAATTGCACAAACTTGGCATTGTGCACTCCATTGACTTTGTCCGTGTATACATCGATATATTTTCACTTAAAAAAGTTAAAAGGAGCACCCAATTCTAGGTAAAAGTATATTTATGGAACATTCAAACTACTCAAATTACCATAAATGAAACAACAACTTGGCGATAAATGAAACCACAACTTCACGGTAATACAAGAGGTATCCTTCAGTCTACTCTAACTGTAAAGACTTTCAAAAACACTTTTATTTCATATACAAGTTATATGTAGCATTTGAGGATTAACATATCGAAAAAATAATAGAATAAAATCATTCAGTTGGTGAAAGCTTTACAATTGCTCATTATGTGATTTGCTTTTGAATTTTGAATTTTCATGAATTATTATTTTTTTTCTGGTTTTGTTATTGTATGCTACCAAACATAATGATAGTCAGATTTTTTTAAATATCTGCTAATAATGTTTTTTGTTAACAGTTTACAATAGCTAAGACAACTCTTTCCTTCAATTTCTGAAATACGACATTTTGATTATTGATTATTAAAGAAATATTCCATGTTTAATTTTTTCCCCTCTGTACATGCAGATTTATTGTTTCATTTTGAAAACTGTTTTGGAATGGCTTCTTGCCATTTGCATTCTGCACTAAAAATTAAGATCTCTTTAAAATTCTTTCATTAATCAAAACTTTCATAACAGTCTGCATATCAATGCTCATCACTTAATCCATTAATTTCAGAGACTTTTTTCCTGTGTTGATATTTTATCTTTATTTACATAGAAATTTAATTATTGCATCTGCAATTTATATACGACTCCTGAGTTTTCAAGAGAAGCACTTTAAAAAATTTAGCTAGTTTTCATTTTTGCATTTGATTCTTTTATCAGGATAGTGTGCTTTGAGAAAATTTTTAACGAGACAATATGAAATAAACTACAAGCTATTTATTTTTATACTGCCTAATTATTAGAAAATATTAAAGTAAATATCTGGTAGTTTATATAATATTGCCTTGTTAAAAATTTTGTGCTTAAAATGTTATTACCACAGACTATCCCTCTTAGACAAAAGATGTTAACATTCTATTTCGCAGTACAGTATAAAGTCCATAATCCGGACTTGTCGGGACTTCGGTGATTCCGGATTATAGATCATCAATTTAAATCTGGTAAGATGGCATGCAGAAGTTATACTATTAAAAATATGAAACCGTACTTTATGAAATAAAAAGCAATTATGATCTAAAGAGTATTAAATTTTACAAAAAAAAAAAGGCTTAATATTTATTTGTTTACTTCATTTAAAATTTCAGCACGCACATGCATAAAGCATATGCGCGCAATGTATGTGCATTCTTTACATGCATGCGTAATGTATGTGCATTCTCTACACGCATGCATAAAGTTTGTGGCTTTGAGGTGCGGATTATAGATCATTCTTGATAATGGGCGTCCGGATTACAGACTTTGTGCTGTATATAACAATTTTTATATTTTTGGTTATTAAATATATTTGGTACTTTTCTGTTATTAGGACCAGATTCAGAAATGTATGTATATATGCATGTATATGTTCGTGCATGCATATGTGTATGTGTGTATATATGTATGTATGTGCATACACATACATGTTGTACATGTACACATACATATACACATGCATACATATGTACATTTCTGAATCCAATCCCATTAACAGGAGATTACCATATTTTTTATATCAAAATTATTACTATGGTTATGATTTCTTTCAATTCATGATTCAAACACACACACACATATCTATAAATACATATATTTGAATTCAGGAATGTTCGAGAGCCGCATCTAGATTTTCTAAAAGCCATAAGTTCATATTTACATCATTATACAAGTTGTGGAGGAGGTTTTAAATAGAAAGAAATCCCTGATAACTTTGTAAAAAGAGTCTAAACTAATTAATTACTTCCTTTTGGACACTGAATAGTTTTAATTTACCATATTTCATATACTATATACAGTCAAAAGTCGTTAATTTGGACACCCATAATCCGCACCTCAAAGCTAAAAACTTTCTGCGCATGTGCCGCGTTGACACATGTGCATAGGCGTTTAGGCGTGCGCATAAGACCTCTTACGACTGCGCATTTGCGCGTGCGCAAGCGCAGAATACGTTTTCGCGTGCGCGTTTTATGTATAACGGACGGTATAAGCTAAAATTATCTAATTATCTATTTCAGTTAATGTTGATGATTGTTTCTTAATTTTTGAATTGGATCCGGCTTATTATTTTTTGCAGACTGTAAGAGCAATGCTATAAAAGTAAACTTGAACTTTCGATTATGTCAAATAGAATTTCCGATTCTGGAGCTCCCAAAGGATCGTACAAAACGAAAGTATGTTTCGATGTCCATGAAACAAAAAGTGGAATTGCTGCAAAAACTGGATAAAGACATGAAGAATGTGACAGAGAGGTTAGTGAAAACGAAAAAATTTCGATTGACAAGTTAGTCGGTATTCTCGGCACAGCAATTAACGGGTCTTGAACAGCGGAACTTTGTAACTGAACAAAAAATTATACTGAACAAAATATTGTCTGTTTATAGAATTAAAGAGAAAATATTATCACATAAAATGAAATAACTTAAACAACTTACATTGAAAGAAATGTTTAATAAAGTAAACAAATAAATATTAAGCTTTTTTTTGTAAATTTTGATACCCTTTAGATCATAATTGTTCTTTATTTCATAAATTACGGTTTCATATTTTTAATTTTAGAATTTCTGCATGCCATCTTACGCGATTTAAACTAATGATTTATAATCCGGAAAAATCGATAATCCGGAATCGCCGAAGTCCCGCCGAGTCCGGATTAATGACTTTTGACTGTATATTATATGCATGAGCCGCACAACTTGCCTGTGAAAGCCGTATCAGGCTCGCGAGCCGCACTAGGGCCACCCCTGTTATATATTGTGGCAGTTAATTAAAGGCATATCTTTCTTGTGGAATTTAAGTTTTAGTGAAGCACTGGAACTTCTGCACTGAATATAATAAGAACTGTAGAAAATTTATAAAATGCTTCTAATTCTATTTGTGTTGAGTTTGTTAATAAGAAAAAGTAGTAAGTTTACTTACTTATAGGTGCCTTCTCATATTTAGTATTATTAAGGTATTGGATCATATGTATCTAGTAAATTACAATCTATAAGAGACAGAGAAGTGAAATAAGTATACACTGAATTATATTGCTGAGAAAATATTTTTTCCGAAAATACAAAAATTTATCATCTGATAAAAAATGTGATCCATTTAAGCTTATTCAAGATGTATTTGTGTACCTTTTTGTGTGTACATTGTGTGTGTGTGAAAATTTTTTACTTATTGAATTATTACTTTTAATTTTTACAAATGAGGAAAAATACTTTTTACCGTGTATATTAAAAATAATAAAGGAATTCAGTATATATATTCATTATATATATTCAATGTATATTCAGTATTACTTTCCTTTAACTTGTAGTTGCATGTGCTGATTTCTCAAATGGTGGATGAGCTAGCAGATATGGTAAGTAAAGGTGTGCTTTTTTAAATGTTTGGAATATATTTTCTGTAATTGGTCTTGTTCACTTGCTTTTGTAATTGCTTTTTAAAATATTGAATTATGAAATTGGAAAAAATAATAATTTCTTTTGTTTTTGGTTAAATGTATGAAATTATTGAACTCTGGTAATTTTTATCCAGGTTTGGTTCTGATGAAATGGATTGTTGCACAGAAATTTTTGCACATTTTTGCAATGTTTGAGATAATTATGAGCCTATATAAGTCCATAGGGACAGCTCTCATACAGCCTTGTATGACTGCTGTAATAAGCCTGTCTGTTTACATATTTTAGTTGAAAAGTACCTCAAATAGTTAGTTTAGGTTTAAATATGAAAAAATAAAATTATGTGGATTTTATTAAACATAGAAAACAATATCCATTTACTTGTATAAGCCATCTTGTAAGTTACATACCCGACCTTTTACCATGAAATTAAAATATATAGTCTTGACTGTTTTTGATATATTTAATATTTGTTATATGAATTAGTAAACAGTATTATTTAAATACTTCTACTTCCATAAAAATTATTTGGTCTAGTCTCTAGAATTTCTTTTTTAAATAATCATAAAATAAAATAATTCTGCTCAGTGCCTGCCCTAAATTCTAAAAATTTTGCCTTCCCTAAATTTTGTTGCTCAGTGCTTCATTAACTTTTAAACATTCTACCATGTTGGCTCTGGCACCAGCCTTGACCTTACATCATTTTATAGTTATTCTCAATGCTTGTATTATCAAATAAATAACACTACTAGTTTCTTCTATGCATTCTAAATGTATGCAGTTTTTTAAAGTAACATTGTCTTTAACTAAATCTCAAAATCCTAAAACAAACAGGATATTTATTGAGGAAGAAATTGATTACATAAAGAGAAAGAAAGTTGTTCTTTTAAGGTATATTGTTGAAACATTAGCCAATTAGAAGATGAAAAAGAGACAACTGAGTGCATTGATTTGTGTATTGAAGCAAGTGAACTTAAAAGATACTGAAAAAAAAAAAAAAAAAAAAAAAAAAAAAAAAAAACCTTATTAGCTAAAATATCTGAAAAATTTTCATAGATTAGCAATGCTTATTTTAACATATGTTTAAAAAAATTAATTGGAGCCAGTTTAATAGTAAGTCATTAATGACCAAGGGTATCTAACTACCTAATTTAATTACTATTTGTAACTCCCTAAACATTAAGGCAAATTATCGCTTTTCCTTATCCTTAATGTGAACGCAAGATGCAGCACAAAAATATAAAAATTAAGCTAAAGATTTATTCCTCACAACTAGTGAGATTTTAAAATCCAAAACAACTTATAACTTCTGGTGTATGTTTGCTTTTTGGAATTTTACGATTTATTAACTCAGTTACAACTCCATTAACTTTATGTGAAGCTACAACCCTAAGTGTGTCTGATAGAGAAAGTATGACTAACTTTTGCCACTTATCAACCATTTAAAATGTCAGATATTCAAATGTGTTGTGGTCAATGTCTTTCTTCAATACTAGCACCGAAAAACGATTTAGAAGATGTTGCTCTTTCTTTTTTCTGCTTGTTCAGTAAGCAACCAACAACCAAGCTTTTACTACAATTCATGCTGATTATGATTTCATTTCACATTTAACATTTGGCACTTGATTTAAAATCAGTATAAAACTTCTGGTTGAGCAAGTTTATCACAAAATGAAGTTAACAATAACAGGTTTAAATTAGACAACTTGCTGTTTCTCTTGAGAAGGAACAGCAGTGTCACAAGGCCGGTGGAAGTGATCAGGAAAAAAAATTCGTTCTTTGCTTCTTCTTGAAACTTTGCAGGTTTCCTTAATGTAGAAAAGGGCTTTTGTCTGAAAAATGCCAAGAGAGTAAGATGTCTTTCCACTTCTGTAATAATGCTGTAATGTCAATTATTTTAATTAACCGAGAAAGCCTGCATTAAGTTTTTAAATATAAATAAAGAAAGACAAATGGTCTTAGTTTTTCTATAACGGAAGCTCGGCAACATTACAGAGGCATGAAAGAAAGAATTAACATTAAGCTAACTATTAGTAAAACTTCAATAAAATGTGCTAATCTTCATTATGTAAGACTATTGTAAGTGAAAATAAAAATGTTTCAAGAATTTTTTTATTTAATTTATTTGATACTTGATAAAGTTTTTGAAGTTTATTTTGTACTCAAATTTGTTTTATAATTATGTTTAATAATAATAATATACCCTTAGGATGCATTATTAAAATGTGCTAATCTTTATAATGTGTGGGAGTACTGTATGTGTAAAATATTTTTTGCTTAATATTAATTACTTCATAAAATTTGTTAAGTTGATTTTATACTCAGATTTGTTTTATAATTTTGTTCAATAATAATAATAAAACAAACTTAATTTGAAAGTTATTGAGGGACCAATTGATCAGCACATGTACATTGCGCAAAAAATAAAAAAAGGACAGTTCAATATCTCTTGTTCTACAGGCCCTATTGACGAAATTCAACCTGCATTTTTCATGTCTCAAAAGCATGACATAGGATATGTATTAGATTTATATATAACATTGTTCTTATGTAGGTATTTTGATACAAAATCAAACTTTTTCTGAAATGGCATGCCAATTTTTTTCCATATTTTGATTCTACGACTCAAATTATGCCAAACTGCCAAGTTTTGTAAAAATTGCACAATTAGTTTTTAAAAATTAGCTCTCAAAATTTTAGTTTCTCAGTGTTAATTGAATTTGATATATGTTTATTAATATTTCTTTTTATTATTAAACTTACTCGATTCCTTCTTCCAGAATTTGAAATTTTGGCTTAATCCAAATACGAGGAGGCCATCCAGGAAGTAGATTACGTTTCCGTCTTGTCCCTAGGGCGGGGCTAGCGCGGCCATCTTGGGTCAGCGTGCGCAGTCGTCTGCATCTAGCCGTGTAGTGAGAGTTCGTGCGGCTCCGTTCAGAACTGTGACGTTTGAATGTTGCGTATTGAAATCCCGCGAGCGCGCTCATCTAGGTTTCTAGCAAAACTGGAGGAATTGGTTATGTGTGCCTCCTGGAAAGAGGCACTACAATAAACTCTCAAAGGTATTGCCAAACTCTCCAAAAACTCAGAAGAGCAATTCAAAACAAGCGCAGAGGAATGTTGAGCTCTAAGATCTTGTTGATTCACGACAACGCCCGGCCCCACACGGCAAATGTCACTCGTAAAGTTCTTGAATCTTTTAAGTGGGAGTTGTTTCCTCATCCGCCGTACAGTCCCGACCTGGCACCGAGCGACTTCCACCTATTCCCAGCAATGAAGAAGTGGCTGGCTATGCAGCGTTTTGATGACGACGCACAGCTGCAAGAAGAGGTAACGAAGTGGTTGAAGGCGCAGGCGGCCGAATTTTTCGACGAAGGAATTTCCAAGCTCGTACATCGCTACGATAAATGCCTTAATTTGTATGGTGACTATGTAGAAAAGTAGTATTTGAGTGTGGCTTTCATCTGTATATAATAAAATTTGTTTCCTATACTTTGTTTATTTTTTTATTTCAAAACGTAATCTACTTTCTGGATAGCCCTCGTATAATTCGCACATTTTTTATCATTTATTTTTAAAATTTGTATTTAAAAATATTTTTCCAACAAATTTTTGTATTATAACCTATAGAATGTTTAACATTGTTTAAAAGTAGATGTATTTCTAGGCACACCTGCAAAAAATCAGAGTTTTTTTATTCAAAATTTCTAAGATATACAAGAATTTGCATATTGGAGCATTTTGAAATTTGGCAACTTTTTTTTGAGCAAGAATAACACCAAATGTTATATACGCACTTTGTTAAAGTTATTTGAAAGTATGAACAATGACTTTTTTCCCACATGTCTGCAATGAAAAGGAAAATGGGTAGCTATAAATTAAGTAGTTCGCCAAGTAAATTATTCTTGCCAAAAAACTGAAAAAAAATCCGCCAAGATAAATTTTTGAATTTTTCCATAAATTTCGCACCAAATTTTACAGAATTTTACATTTAGGCATAATTTGAGTCGTAGAATCAAAATCTGGAGGGGGGGGGGAATTGCATGTCATTTCGGAAAAAAAAACCGATTTTGTGTCAAAATACCTATGTTGGAATGATGCTCTATATAAATCTAATATACATCCTAAGTCGTGCTTTCGAGACATGAAAAACACCATTTGAATTTTGTCAATTGGCTCAGTAGAAGTTATGGAACTGTCCCATTTTTTCCCCTTTTTTTTTCACAGTGTACCATGAAATGAAAACATGCATGCATACAGGTATTATGCTTTTGAAGACATTCTCATGAGCATCCCTGAGTGTGTAGGAACATACCCTGTAGAACATACCATGGCAGTTGTAGACTATGTAAACATCACTGCTGAAGAAAACACCTGTTTTTTTTTTTAAAAACTCTAATAAATAGTTTTTTTTTCAACTTGATTTAAAATATTTAAAAATCCTGAGGTATGTACTATCCATACACAATTAATAAGTCAGCTTATTTGTTTCAAATTTCATGAGTATTAAATATTACTATTTAAAATTCTGAGATTTTGCTGTGAGTCTGATCTGATAGAAATTACTTAAATGGCATATATATTTTGTAATATAATAGAAAAAATAAGCAAATCACAAATGCATGTCACATGTTTATTAACTTGACTAACTAAACTGTTGCCATTCAACAAAAAACAAAAAAGGAGCTACACATGAATATTAAGGAGCATAGAGTCTATAATTATAGCATTGCTTTGGCAGATGCAGTATCATAAAAATAAAATAAAGCTTATTTCTAGCATTCTCCTTGCCAAAGTATGCCTAAAATAACTCACTTAAATTGATTAAATACTACCTTCAAAATGAGGGATTTTTTTTTTTTTTTTTTTTTTTTAAGGGAACTTGCAGAAACTCTTCAGAACTGAACAATAAGAAAAATTGGTAAAAGAAATTTACAAGTGTTATGAGCATATACAG